GGGCGCAGTAAATTTCGGCGAGTGATGCAGAAACCGAAACGCGTGTATCCATGAGGGATACTCTTAACCCGAATATAGCCCTGTTTGCATATCGGAGGGTCGTTTCGGGTCGTTTCGCGAGCTGTCCTCCTACAGTTTTGTCACCAGTTTTGCCACTGGTAATCATCGCGGGGCTGTAAAGTTGATTGTTGCCTCTTTGCGTATCGCGTGCTACTTCACACATTTTCGACGTACTCGCCGTTACAAGTGTACGACTGTGGGTAATGTACGATTCTTTCCGTCTCGTTAAACGTTCAAGTCACATTTCTTCAGGGGTTGAACTATGTGCGAAACTATGTTGAAGTGTAATTGAAGTTACAGAGTACATTGTTTGTAAATTTTAGAATTTCTTTTGAAACACTTGATTGAAGCTTGACGAATATACATATCTTCCAATATAATGAAGTATTATCTTAACTATCAGAAATAAAATAAAATGCTTATTTTGGCCATTTGAATATTAATTCTCAAGTAAAACGAAAGTAATTGTCACTACTTAATCAAGAAAAACACGCTCTGTTTATTTCGTCGGTAGAGTTTCCTCGTGCATGAAACTCTTCCGATTGCTCTTCGAAAAAGCGTTTTAATTCGGAAGCGGAATAAATCAGCACGGTAGAGTGATCAACTGGGAAAACAATTGGCGCTGATCAGTTGTGTTGTGATGGTTACATAACGACCGATTAATCGATATTATGAAAGGTCAGTTTCATAGCCGCGTCGTCTCCATTGGCAGACCTCCGGAGGGAATTCCCTCGTGGTCCGCCACTATCGATTGTCCTTTCGAGTTTCCAGCAAATTGACACGGCATTTTCGAAACTCTGCTGCTAAACACGTCGCGATAGCAATTATTCGGCTTATATCTTATCTCAGATTGCGCGACGATACTTTCAATCGACGCTCGAGAACTGATGTAAAAAATTCCTGTGACAGAGAAATTAATGGAATTTTATTAAAAATCATTCAAGCCTCTAAAAATACATCGTCTTAAAGTTCCTATAAGAAATTGTAAATTGGTCACTTTAGTTAGATAGTTATAGTGTTAGAATTACCAAATTAATGAACGTGTTAGTTTCAAAAATATGCAATGTTGAGTCAAATTTGTGATACTAATTGTAAGTAATATCTGTTGCTTACACTTTGTCTTTCTTAGAATCATGTGAAAGTTTGTAATCAATTTAATTGGTAGATATTGCTATATGTTGGACGAAGAATTTAATATCCATTATTTTAGAAAAACTCGAATATCCCTTGTTAAAAAATTTCGAAAGGACCAGAAGAGAAGATGTCGAAGCTTTCGTCGAGGATTTTCTAAAATGAAGGTTTATTAAAGTGAAGTATGCCATGAATTTAATTTTGAAGTTCCTTACACTGAAGAGGCTTATGAACTACAAAATATACTGGGTGACTCGTTTCTTGTCACCATGTCACTTTTTCTTTCTCAACAGAATTTATTTTCCATCAAATACCCAGATTTTAGTCGCTTAATACTACATCAATTCCATTACTAACAGAGTCCATGCATTTATTTATTTATTATACTTATGCGCATTAATTATACTTTGATACTACAAACTGTTGGAGTATAAAAGCTGAAGTTTATTTACTTATTTATTCGTTCACATATTTGTATATTACGCAATATTGTATCATAAAAATACACACGCAATTCAAAGACCAGTTTCCAGCGTTTGAAACGCGTAAATACTGGATATTAAAAATAACAAAATATCCTAATACACAGTGTTCGAGTGCAATGTTTTTCTTTTCTTTTCTTTTTCGTTGAGTTAACGATATAAAATCTAGTACTTGGCGACACCATGTATAGCGAGTAAATGCTACGACCTCCCCTTCTCGCGGACGCCAGGGAAACGTGCACACAGCCAGTAGCTAAAAGCGTGGGCGACGGTGCAA